TTTCATTAAACTAGACCTACCCAGTTCCTGCAACCGTTCTTCATATGTTTTAGCCTCCAGTCCCCTAATCATCTTTGTTGCTGTTATTGTTAACAACAACAACAACATCAACCATAACAATAAACAGTAACAATAATAACAACTACAACCAACCAACGACCAATTTGGCCCAGTGATTAAGGCACCAGGCTAAAAAGCTGGAGACCATGAGTTGAAGTCCTACTTTAGCTATGAAAGCCAACTGGGTGACTTTGGGCCAGTCACTCTTTCTCAGCCCAGCCCACCTCATAGGGTTGTTGTTTTATGGGGAAAATAAGAAGAGGAAGTTGTGTTGGTTGTGCTTGCTGCCTTGAGTTATTTGCCAAAAATAATAAAGGATAAAACTGGGATCTCTGAAACAATTGGCGTAGAAAAATCTCATCCAGATTTATTGAAGAACTCACATTTTCATTCATTGCCTATTTGGGACATGGAGAATAATGTCTGTTCTTCTTTTTCCGTTAAAACACTGTGACAAGTGAGAATAGCTGTGTTTTATTCTCTTCCCCATTCATAAATCTGATACCATTTGTTGAAAGGCTCTGTTCCTGTGACTCTAAAGAAGTGAAGACCACTGGACACATCCTCCTTCGACGTTCTTTTTATAGAGATATTCGGGGAGGGGAGAATTACCCTTCCAATAATTAATAGGTATCCTGGCTGTTCTGACACTGCTTATTTCTAGCCGCTGCTTAAGGATGAATGGATTGTGATCACAGTGCAGGTGGCTAGATTCTGCGTAGCAACCCTAGGGATTCATTGGAATGTGACAATAATGATCTGAGCCACGGTGGCGCAGTGGCTCGAGTGCAGTACTGCAGGCTCCCTCTGCTGACTGCCGTCTGCCTGCAATTTGGCAGTTCGAATCTCAGCAGGCTCAAGGTTGACTCAGCCTTCCATCCTTCCGAGGTGGGTAAAATGAGGACCCCAAATTGTTGGGGGAAAGATGCTGACTCTGTAAACTGCTTAGAGAGGGCTGGAAAGCACTGTGAAGCGGTATATAAGTCTAAGTGCTATTGCTATTATTCCGTTATAGCTATTTGACACAATTAATGCAGCAAATATCTTTTGATATTACCACTTCATTGCATTTTAGTATCTAATAACTATAGGCATTCACAATTTAAAGATTGACGTTATAATATATTATAATTTAGTCCATGTTGGGTTTTGTTTATGTGCCAAAGACCACCAAATTATGATTTTAACATAGATGTTATTTGTTCTTTATGATTTTATTCTAGAAATTTTAATTGGATACAGGGAGTCCTTGACTCATAACAGTTCATTTAGTGATTGTTCAAAGTTACAACGGCACTGAAAAAAAGTGACATGATCTTTTACACTTATGACTGTTGCAGCATTCTCACAGTCATGTGATCAAAAATAAGATGCTTGGCAACTGACTCACATTTATGATGATTGAAGTGTCATAGATTCACAGGATTCCCTTTGACGACAAAGTCAGTGGAGAAGCCAGATTCATTTAATGATTGTGTTATTAACTTGACCACTGCAGTGATTCACTTATGGCAAGAAAGTTTGTAAAATGGAGCCAAACCTACTTAGCCAATGTGTCATGCCTGAAAGCCATCTTTTCTTTTTGGACTTCAGGCCTGCCACACTTTCTACTGTGGGAAACTGGGAGGGGGGATTATGTGGAGTTGGGTGATATGTAGCCATAATAACATTCTTCTTAGAAAGTCAAGGTCATTCATTGTCTCTGTACCTAGCCGGAACTGGATGGGAGGACTCTGTCTTCATGGCAGAGGAAGATTGGATCATGTGATGAACTTGTGGGTGTTGGGACAGGATCTTGAACTTTCAACCGGGTGGGAAAAACAGGAAGCTTTCAGATTCGGGTTTTCCCAGATGTGCCAACATGGCTCTTTTAACAAAATGGAACTTTGAGGAAGCTCTCGCCTCGGACTCTGATTTTATTTCGGATACTATTTGGAACCCTGAAACAATGTCTCATTTAGCAATAGAAATTTTGGGCTCAATTATGGTGGTATTTTTTGAGTGTTTTTAACTTGTTCTGGTCTTTGACTGTAGTAAACATTGACTTGGCTTGACGTTCATAAAATCTGATTGCAGATTCTCCTTTTCCCGAAACAGGTGATGGCCCATCCTCGCTACCTCGCTTCCCAGTGCATTGCAGTCTTCTTAAGCATGCCAGATGAGGTCCGGACCAACGAAATCATTAAAGACATTTTTCAAAAAGGCAAAGAATGCTTCATTCCATGGTACAAGCCCCAAAGCAGCCACATGGACATGGTCAAGCTAGCTTCCTATGAAGAAATTGCCTCCCTTCCTCTGACATCCTGGAATATCCATCAACCAGCTGACGATGACGCCCGGGAAGATGCATTGGCAATGGCGGGTAAGTTTGGAATTGTGACACAGGATTGTGATATCAGTAGGATGTGGCTTATACCTTGGCTTAAGAGGGATAAAAGCAGGCATCTCTTTGCGTGCACTAAGTCAATGGTGGCGTACTATGGAACTTGTGCCAGAAGTGGCACTCAAAGCCCTCTCTGTGGGTACAGATGTCGTTGCCCCAGCCCAGCTCCATCATATTTCTCCTACGGGAGGGGGGGAGAGAGAGAGGGAGGGGAAGAGACCGAGAGAAAGAGAGAGAGGGCTAAAATGTAATAAGCTACTTTGTGAGTAATGGATTGCGTGGTTATATCATGGCGATGCCGGCTTGGAGATTAAAATCTGCAAAGTTGGTGGAATATTATGGAATAAATGGCAGCGTAAAATTGGCCTGTTCTTACTGGGACAGAGGCAACTTAACTAAGCTTTGCAAACTAGTTGCAGTTCCCCCTCCTTACAGAAATAGTTCAGTAAATGCATTCTATGACCAGTAGATGGCAGGGTAGAATGCATTAAGAAATGAGCCAGTATGACAACCCCCCTCCCAGCCCAGCCCAGCCCAGGTATGATACAACCTTTCTCCCTGGGGAAGAATTTATCTCTGGGCTTGAAAAGCAAGCTGGAGAAGGGCCCAGCTCACATTTTAAGGAGAAAAAAAACCTAAAACCTCCCGTGCCCTAAATGTCTTTAAATATTACCTTCTCCTAATGATATCTTAGGATTACATTACTTTGTTGTCTGGATGTATACTCAGAGCTTAAGCGCTGGAGACAAATTCTATCCTATTCCTATTCCTATTCCTATTCCTATTCCTATTCCTATTCCTATTCCTATTCCTATTCCTATTCCTATTCCTATTC